GGCATCAATAACTCAGTAGTTTGAGAGCTGAACTAACCTCAGAAATAAATGGTGTCATACTCCTTGTACAGCTTGAAATACTGTCTAAGATGTCCTGAATTCCAGAATTGCATCACTGTTGTGTCTCTTTGCAGAGTATTTGGAGAACATGAATACTGAAATCTTTCCAGTTGCTTTGTTGTTGAAGTAATGGCATTTCTGCAGCGCAGAGGAGTCTTAGTTACAGGCCAGGAAAAGTTCAGGAACAGAGAAAGATAAATGTTGAGGTATTACTAGCTTGGCACATGGAACAGGAAGGGATACGGTAGAATTAATTTTCTTGCATTGACTTATTTGCTTTTGAATTATGAAGAAATTTCTGTATTGTCTGAAAACTCAATAGTAACAAATTATTGTGAGAACTGCTTAGCAATTCTTTTCATCCAAGATTATTTCTGATCTCATGTGTGTTTGGAAATGTTTGCAGATGAGGAGGAGAATTCTTCCCAAGCGATGTGCTTTTTGTTTTCTTTGAATGTAGAGATTTTTTCGGGCTCATAACATTTGCAGTGCATTGCTCAAAGCACTCATCTGTTTAGAAAAGTAATAGTCGATTTAGGAATGACCTGCCAAACTTGAAAAGGCTGAAGGAAATAACACCAGCTGTATCCTGCTATCTTAATGTCTCTGTGATTATCCAGCAGTAGGCGAATAGAAAGTGGTGTCATGGCAAGAATTTCTATATTCAGAGGTGATCTCTTTGAAAACAAGCAGTGGGAAGGACACCCTGGTGCTAGTGACTGCACTTAGCACACATGGTGACCCGTCAATGAGCCAGACAGGTTGTGTTGCTGTGTCGGACGTGTGTGTTGAGGAATCCATCCAGTGCAGGCAGCTTGGGATGCAGCTCCAGTGTGAGCTGCAGGTTGAGCTCTGAGGGCAGTGAGAAGAGCCCGATAAGTGCCAACCCTTTGCACAATAAAGGGCACAGGGCCGTGTGGCCCGGCCCGGCCAGGCGACCGGACACTCAGAGACACTCGGCGACACTCAGACATGGCAGGAACTGACGACTCCCAGACTTTCCTGCCCTTAGCTGTAAGGGGATAAAAGCCCAGGCGTTCCTGGTTCAGGGTCCCTCCTTGGAGGCTCCAGCTGGAGCTGCTGTTTTGTTGTTTAGTTATTGCTCCAAGATAACACTGTTTTAAGGATTGGGACGTCTGAGACTCGGCTATGGGAAACCCGGAGTCGAGCTGGTAGGGAAACCTGGTGTGACTGTGTGAGCGTGGGGTGTGCTGCTGCCAAAGGGTCCCAGCTCAGGAGGTGCAAGTGGGACTGCCAGAGTGGCTCCCCGATGATCAGTTTCTTCCACGCTGAAATGCAGACCTTTGACATGTGCTTTGGGAGACTCCTCATGTCTGTGAATGACCAAAGTGTTAGCACTGGTGAAGCTCTGGTAGCTGAGTGGCACCGTGTTTGTAAGGAGCATTAAATATGATTTTACTACTGCTTCCCCTCTGGAAAACATGAAGCCACTTTGGGCATGTGAGGCTAATCTCTTCTCGCTTCCATTTCATACTCTTTAAAGAGGTCGTTTAAGAATTTATTCCCTTTTTTTCCCACTCAATGACTAGAAGCAGCACTCTAAATCTCTTTGTAAAGATAAACTGGATGTGGCATTTAGTGCTGTGGTTTGGTTGACATGGTGGTGTTTGGTCAAAGGTTGGACTTGATGATCTTGGAGGTCTTTTCCAAGCTTAATGATTCTATGATAGAGAGAATCTAATGCTAATTGTTATTTCTCTGTACATACTGAGCTCTCCATCACCATAGTAGTAAGGTGTGCTGCCATGCACTATTGATGCAGGTAGCTTAAAAGAGCTGCAGAAATGTTTTTATCAGCACTGAGTGTTTGTGCTGTCTTTTAATAGTGCAAGATTAACATTATCATGCAAAAATTGAAACTCTGTATTATATGGAGAACCCTTGATACCAAGGGAGTAAAGGAAGCCAAAACACCCTATTGTCCAAATTGTTAAATATCAAATAGAATCAAGAGCAAATGTCTCAAAATTATTTACAGGAAGCTTTTGAGCTGAAATTGTAATAAAAATAAGTGTTTCAGAGGGACAGCAGGAGCAGAAGGCAGCTGTGTGGTATAGGTGGAGGTATTGCAGCAATCAGCCCAGAATGTACCAGATCAGCTTTGTTGATGTTTCTGAAGGTGAAAGCAGTGTCAGTCACTACTGAGCCTGACTGTGCTGCTCAAGGCCCTGAGATAGGTCTCTGCTGTGGTCATAGACATTTTCCTGTGAAGTTTCTTTGAGATAGGAATACAATCATTCCATTAGTTTCTTTTCTCTGATCTTGCATCTCACTTGCTTTGCATGTTTGGGACTAGTTATATTTGGGAAAACAGGGTGTGCATCCACTGCTCCCTGCTGCAGGAGTCTCCTGACACTGGAGGGAAGACATCCAACTGGGTCTCCAGCATTTGGGCTGCTCTCTGCTGTTTCTCAGCAAGTACTGGTTTAGCTCAATGGTGCTTGACTCTTGTATTTCATTCTCTTCCTCCAAATGAAGCTACCCATGCACACAACCTCAGCTGACTTATGCAGATAAGGTAGATTTGGCAGAGAAATGCAACCATGTTTTATGATATGACTGATTTCACTTGCTTTAAATGTCTCACAGTACTGAAGAAGCTCTGGAATTACTATTAAAAGCATTACTATAAAGGCACAGTCTTCAGACTTACCTTCTTTTCTTGTTAAGTTCTGATAATTACTGAAGTCAAATGAGTCTTTTTCAGAATATAAGGTTTGAGATAGTTTTTATTGACAAAATCCAGAAAATCCGATGACAAATCATAAAGCTCATGCACTGCAAACTCATAGTAAGAAACCAGTTAACATCATGCACACACTGAAATAAGATTATGCATAAATATGGTAACTCTCATGCTCAAAAAGACTTCTATCCCCTTCCTTTTGATCATGGAAAGCATAATTCTTCTTTTCTGAAAATGCTTTGCTGTTCACTCGTATTCAAAGGGTTGCTTATTTCTCCATATTAATTTTGTTTGTTGTTTCTGTTGACATGAAAAGGATTTGATGTGTAAGTAAAAGAGGCATTGCCTAGGATATCCTGAGGAATTGTGATTCCAGCTAGAGACAATGGGAATGCAGTGGAGTGAGGAGATGAGGTATTACTGTCACTCACAGGATATACTGCAGTCATGATTTGTGAAACACCCCCAGTCATGGTCCCTGGGGCAGAGAAGGATGATTTCATAAACAACAAAACCACAAGGAGAACCATATGACTGTTCTTGCAAAACCTGCTGCCAAAAAGCAAAAAAAGGAAAGAACCTTCTAAAACCAAGGGGGAATGGCCTAAATGTGGAAATATTTCAGATGTTAATGTCTTAGATTTGTTTCTTTAGTTAAAACAGATATGTGTGGGGAAGGAGAGGCCCATGCTGAAGGTTGTCTGAGTGTGTAATTGCTTCCAGAGAAGTGGTATTCAAATTAAAACTTACCAACTCAAGTCTTGAAGAACTTGGCAGAAACAGCCAGAGCCTTCGCCACGCAGGGCTTTAAAGACCATTTGGAGAATACGGTATCAATTGGAAATTGTACAAACAGCTAGTGAGAATGATAATTTTTCCAGAGTAGCTCACGATCTTGCCATGGAAGCACCTGGTTAAATTTTAAGTTGTAGCCAGTAGTTACAGCTGGGGAAAAAAAACCCCAGTAATGTCTTTTATCTCCTGCTGTGACCCAGGCACCCTGTGCTGTTTGGAGCATGTAATAGCGTCATTAATGGGGCAGCCTGTGGATCTGTTACAGTAGTTTTTATACCAAAGGCAGCACAGGCTTTTCCTCCACAGGGTGCCATAAAAACTGCAAGAGATTTAATCAGGTATGTTAATGGCTTCAGAGTATCTTCCTGACATTATCATTCAGCAGTTGATGTCTTCATTATTGGTGCAGCTTTTGTAATCTAGCAAATGTATAATTTTGTGTAATTTAGCAAATGGATAATTTTCAGCAGTAGATGCTCTTGGAGGAACTAACCTAAGTAGATCGTAGCTGATCAGCTTCTACAGTCCAGCTGTCATAATGAGAGAGAGAACTGCTTCTGCTGCTTGTAGTCATCACAGTATATTCACAGTTGGAAGGGACCCAGGAGCATCATCAAGGCCAACTCCTGGCTCTGCACAGGACACCCCTGAGAATCACACCATGTGCCTATATACAGGGCCAGTCCTGCTGATGTCCCAGCAAAGCAGTTCAGAAGCATACCCTGTTTTTTGGGGCAAAATCAGCCAGATGAACTCATTGCACTGATTAAATTGTTAATGCCAACTTGCCTCATTTTCCATGACATTAAAGAGAGATTTTTACAAAGAGCATGTAGTCTCAGTACTTCCCAAAGGTACAGGAACTAATAAAAGCAGCAGTTTGGCTGGTGGATTGAAGCCTGTTTTGGGGACAATTGTTGCTGGGAAGAAGTACTTGCTTGTCTCTCTCGCCTGTGTTTCTCATAATATGCAGCTATTGACGCCTCAGTTCTGCATGTCAGCTGCTCTCGTTTGACTCTCCGTTCTGGTTCGTAGGTTTCTGGTGTGGTCCACTGCCACATGCAGTAATTCTTGTTGTTTCAGCTCTGTAATTACAGAGATATTTGATTTCTGCCTAGCTGGGACTGAATGAAATGTAGCTGCTGCTGCTGCTCAGTGCAGACAGGTCTGTGGATCAGAGAGACGCTGGCAGCTGCCAGCACCTCCTGCGTTAGTGGTATCCAGTGACATGTGTCCTTCATGTGGCACAGACTGGCTTCCAAATGGCTCCTTTGTAGGCTGTCGTTGGTGCATCAGTGCTGCTGCTGACCCGCCGGCAGTGCCGGGTGGCAGCGTGCGCTGCCCTGCCCTGCGCTGCGCTCAGCCCTGCGGCTCACAGCCGGACAGCAGCTCCGCGCGCTGCTCTGGCTGTTCGGCCTGAACGCTGGGTGAGCTGACCATGACTATGTCAGAAAACACGAGAGACTTAGCAGAAAGGTGAGTAGCAGCGCACAGTGTTTTCCATTTGGCTTAGAGGCAGTTCTGATCCTGCTGTTGGAAGCAGGAGAGAATCTGCAGCCCACTGGAGCGTGACTAATCAGTTTGCTGAAATGCTGAGCACTCTCGAGTTTAAAGCATTTCTTCCCTGTTGTTAGTAGTGACGAATGATGATTTGTAGCATTTATGTGTGTACTGTGTGCAGATCCTAAGCCCTTTAGTTGGGAGCTACATCGGATGGTGATTTTCCTTGGAGCATGAGGGAAGTGTGCAGCTTGTGTTTTTCCTGCTGCTGTGGGTGGCACTGTGTTGTTAATTCTTATTCCAGAAAAGATGCCAAGTAATTAATATCTTATTTGTGCTTTGAGCTTCAACAGTGTTTTAGGTTTTTTTTATTTTGTCATCTTTCTGTTTCAAAGGAATATTTTGAAAAGGTTTATTTGTATTGAATGGGGTAATTCTCCTGCATGAGGAGAAACAAACAAACGAAACCCCCAGGTAAAGTGTTACGAGTCTAAATAATTTAAAACAGATGACAATGTGTTTTATATGGTGTTAAATATGCTATTTGGTTCAGGGACACAGATTTATAAGAGGAAAGTAAGAGTTGTAATACATGTAAGCAGTAACTGGCAAAGTGTCAATTAGTACAGTAAGTAGGTCTCAGAATAATTAGGCAGACATGATATTGCATGTTGAATGAGATGGTTGCCAGCACTTGGTTCATCAATGTTTGCAAAGCACTTGGAGAGTGTCTCGGGTGCAGAGGGATTTCCAATGTATCTGAAGTGTGATGACAACAGCCACTATAAACACTGCCATATAATGCTTCTCTCAAATTTACCGTCCTGCTTTTCATATATGTAATTATGTTCTTTATTTCTTTGCAGTCATTATTCTTAAAACCAAAACCAAACCACTGTTGCAGTGGGTGGTTATTACTGATGTTATCTGCTCCCCTGCCTTTTACTTAAGATGATATCAGGACTTTGCTTTCTGTTTTTCCTTTCAGCAGTCTGGGTTGTGCAATTTTTTTTTTTTAGGAACTAACAATTTCTAAGTCACAAGATAGATCACATTAGTTAGAGCTGTTCGGAGTCAGGATCATGATGAGGATGTGTTTGTATTTTGTTGGAGGTTTTTTTGTACAGACTTGTATGCAACATACTAGTGCAGTATGGCTCTTAGTTGAAACATCTGCATCTAATGATCAGTCCTGGCATTGACCAGGTGACCTTAACTTTGTTAGTGCAAGGCCTTATTGTTTCTTATGTGGATTTTTTTAGTCCAGCAGTTCTGGTGGTGATGAACTTGGGCCAAACTAACTCAGCTGGTCTGTATTATCCTGTTGCCAGTAACCTAAAGACCAGCTGAGAACCCTTGTGACAGGTCAGGCTGACATCTGGGTGTTGTGAAGGAGAAAAGTACAGCCAGAGTAAGCCACTGAGAGTCTGCTGATTTCAAGATGCAGCAGGAGTTTGGGGTTTTTTGGAGTGCACTAACACTTCTTAGGGAGAGTGATGTTCCCAGGAACATGCACAATGCACAATGTGAAATTTTGACCCACCTGCAAGTTTGTATTGGTCAGGAACTATGAGCTGAATGTGAGATGAACTAAAGCAGATGTTCCAGCAGCATTGGTATAATGATCTGATGTAGATTGACAATGTCTCGTCCTTAAAGTGACAACATAGTCATAATGTCACTAGCCTGCAGTTTGTCAGCCTTACAGTCAGGTGTGCATCATCACCCACTGCTTCTGTGTTCCTGATACCTGAGCTCGTCAAATTGCTGTGCTCTCACATGGTGATTTCTGCATGTCCAAGTTCTTATGTGTAGTACCTGCACTTTAAAAACCCCAAATACTCAAACATAATGAAGTCACTTTCATTTTTTATAATCACTAGAGATGGAGTAGCAGCTTATGCATTGGAGTAAGGGTGGAACTGAAGAAGGGGTGTTCAGATGTAGCAGTGATGCACTGATAGAAGGAGAACAGATGTGCTGAGTTTATTATCTCTTCTGGCAGGACACCTACATCAGACCTCAACGTGGCATTGCGTGAATGTATGGCAGCTCTGGATTTATTTCTTAACAACAAGTTCTCAGATGCTTTGGATTCTTTGCAAGCAAAGTAAGTTGATGATAAGTTTTACTATTTTTCCTCTGTTTGTTTTTCTTTGCTTCACCATGTCTCAGGAGATTTAATTAGACAGCTGCTTCTCTGTTAATAGTTGGTAAGTCTGTATGGTTTTGATTCAGAAAGGGGGTGGTAAGTTAATGTGTTAAGTTTTGGGGAACTAAGTGCTTTACATTTGGGTGGGTAAATAACAAGACAGATTAAAGATATCTACTAAAAGTACAGAATTGATGTCCCTCAGCTGTAGTGCAGTATATGAGATTCTTGCTCCCGGAAGAATCAAAACCATCTTCTGTCACCTTTCATTTTTGTCTCCTTTCCCACATTTTTCGGCACACTGTGAGAATTTGAAAATGTATAATTTTGTGTCTAAATGAGCAAATGACCATGATTTGAAGGTCTGAGACACATTAGGTATGAATTCTTTTTTTGTTGGTTGTTTTTTTTAATAACCCCTTGCAGCAACTTTCTCACAGCTTACTTTGCAATTCAGTGTTGTGGTCGTGCACTCTGCAATTATGTTGCAGCCTGACATGTAATGAGTGGCCCAGCTGCTCGCAGTGAGGTCAGAAAATAGTTTCTAAAAATTGCTGTGTCTTTACATTGTCTGTGATCTGTCATACCTGGCCTGAAGTTACCTGTGCTCTTGACTTGTTGAAGTCTGCGGTTAATTTAAATTCCTCCCATCCCAGTTTTTACTCCATTTATGTCTGAGCCATCAGCAAGTTGCCTTCTTTTGGGCCACTGGAATACGAAACAAGTAAATGTGCATGAGGGGTTACTAGAGTCAGTAACACATATCTGTATCAGCCTTGTGTTTGATGCCAGTATCTGCAGCTTAGCCATGTAAGTGCACTGTGGGAAAGACAGGAATGATAAATGGTAGTGTGAGCTGTATTAACAGTGCTGATTTTATTCACAGAAGTGTTGTTTAGTGTTTATATATCATCGGAAGATATAATAAAAACAGTAAGAAGAATAACTGTGTTTTCATTAAAATCTGACAGTAAAGCCCTTGTGCCCATCTGGAAAATCCTTATTTGGTGCTTGGCATAAAATAAGGAAATATCTTACTGATATTTCTTATTTCTTATTTCTTACTGAGGGGGATTTGCACAAGCTAGGGAGGCTCTGGACTTTCTTCATTCTCTAAATCCATTTTTCTTCTGTTGCATCTGGTTTTCATTCAGCTTTTGTTGGGCTCTGCAGAACATATTTCATGAGCTGATACTCTGGGTTTGTACCTGACTGTATTCCACACTGCAAAACCATTTTGAAACAAATTTTTCATGTTAGCCTGTTGTTATGAGGAGGCCCTTAT